TGTTTCAGTTTTCTTCTTTCTCCTAGGAGTTCTCTTTACTTTCTTTTGGGCTCTGCTGTGTAGAGAATAGGATTTAAAAAGCATTTTCTGGCTAGACATTGGTGGCTCACGCCTATAATCCTAGCTACTCAGGAGGCAGAGATCAGGAGGATCATGGTTTAAAGCTAGCCCCGGCAAATAGTTCTTGAAACCCTATCTCAAAAATACCTAACCCAAAAAGGGCTGGTGGAGTGGCTCAAGGTGTAGGCCCTGAGTTCAAGCCCTGGTACCGCAAAAAAAGAAAGAAAAAAGAAAAGGCATTTTGTGGTTGGCAATTCTAGGTGGTCTACATTGGGGAAGTTTCAGGTCAAAGACTGCCAAATCTGTGGAGACATAAGTCATATCTTTCTTTTCTTTTTGGTAAAACTTACTTTATTCTCAACCAATTTAGTTTAGCTGAGGATTTACTCCTTCAGACTGCTACTTGCAAAAATGATTTTGACTCCTATGGACCAATAATGAATTAACAAAACCAGGAACCTAGAGATAGGTGATTCCTTTTGTAATCATGATCTCTTGCTGGGGTGGGATGTTGCATGTCCAAAGTTAGTTAAACATTAATAAGTGCAAAATATTGAAAAAGCATGTTAAAAAAATAGTGTCTGAAGACACTAATAGTAGGTAGGAATGATAGATGTGGATGTTTGGGCACAGGGTCTCCTGGCTAGTTGACATTGGGAATGTAAAATGACAGGGAAATTCTCTTGATAACTCAGTGCTATATAATCAATGTGTGGCCAGCAAAGTTACTCCAAAACAGGGCTGCCTTTGCCTTGAAAAAGTAATTGTTCTTCTAGACCAGTAGTTCTTAACTGGGGGCAGTTCTGTTTCCCGGAATACTTAACAATGTCTGGAGACATTTTTGGTTGGTGTGATATTGGCATGTAGTTGGTTGAGGGTAGGGATTTTTGGTTGGTGTGATATTGGCATGTAGTTGGTTGAGGGTAGGGATTTTTTGGTTGGTGTGATATTGGCATGTAGTTGGTTGAGGGTAGGGATTTTTTGGTTGGTGTGATATTGGCATGTAGTTGGTTGAGGGTAGGGATTTTTGGTTGGTGTGATATTGGCATGTAGTTGGTTGAGGGTAGGGATTTTTGGTTGGTGTGATATTGGCATGTAGTTGGTTGAGGGTAGGGATTTTTGGTTGGTGTGATATTGGCATGTAGTTGGTTGAGGGTAGGGATTTTTTGGTTGGTGTGATATTGGCATGTAGTTGGTTGAGGGTAGGGATTTTTTGGTTGGTGTGATATTGGCATGTAGTTGGTTGAGGGTAGGGATTTTTTGGTTGGTGTGATATTGGCATGTAGTTGGTGGAGGGTAGGGATTTTTGGTTGGTGTGATATTGGCATGTAGTTGGTGGAGGGTAGGGATTTTTTGGTTGGTGTGATATTGGCATGTAGTTGGTTGAGGGTAGGGATTTTTTGGTTGGTGTGATATTGGCATGTAGTTGTTGATGCTGCTAGACATCTTACAATGCGCAAGACAGCTCCCCCACCCATCAAAAGTTAGCCAGTCTAAGTGTTGATATTACTAATGTTGAGAAACCCCTTGCTAGTCCTAGGCCTAGGGAGGAGAAGTAGCCCCAAGTCAAAGGTGTATTTAAATAAACACCATCAACTACCTTTCAAGAAATGATAGCCTCATAGCAGTGCACTCTACGTTTCTATTCAAACTCTGACACTTGGTGACAGCCAGGTTATACTTGGCTCGCTCCGATTCTTTTCAAAATTGTGACAATGGATCTTGAAACCACTAAACCCATTTCAAGTTTAAATAAAATCACTTGGCTCTGATGTGACTGTAACCAGTTATGTACAGCAGTTTATTTATGTCCATTAAAGTAAAACAACAAAATGTCCCTATTATCGATGGCATTATTTTTATTTCAGTACTGAAAACACTAAAGTTCTAAGGCCTGAGAGTGAATCAGTAGCAAAAATGGTGTTAGAGAAACAAAGATTTTGATGTTGTGCCTTGCAATTAGACTACAAGGTATCCTTTTCCTTTGTTCATATATTTTTGTGGCTTAAATTTAGGGCAAAGCTAAATTTCATTATTTCTCCAATGGAGGTGATTATCTAAATTTGCCCCTTCTTCCTCCAGGCAGCATGTACGACCATCTAGTCATCTGATTCATTTCCCCTAGAAAGCTGAGAAGCAGTTTTATAATGATATTATTGGCTCGGTAACTGGTGTTTTCATTGTAGTGCTATTACTGAACCAGTGTTGTGATAAATGGTCTGTTTATAAGGGGAATCACTTTTACAAGAAGTAGAAAACTAGATACGCTTCTGCTTTGCAATAACAATAAAAACCACAGTGAAAAAATATCCTCCAATTTATTCCCATCTGTATCAGTAGGAAAGATTTAGAAGATGACTTTTCCTCTAAAGTCTTCCAAACATGATTATTGCCTACAAGTATGAGGTCAAAATGCAGATTTCCTCTAAACCCTATTGAAGACTAATACTTTTTTTTTTTTTTTTTTTTGCGGTACTGGGGCTTGAACTCAGGGCCTACATCTCGAGCCACTCCACCAGCCTGTTTTTTTGTGAAGGGTTTTTTTGAGATGGGGGTCTTATGAATTATTTGCCCAGGCTGGCTTCCAACTGTAATCCTCCTGATCTCTGCCTCCTGAATAGCTAGGATTACAGGCGGGAGCCGCCTGTGCCAGGCTAACTAATACCTTCTTAAGTTTACCATGCCTGTGGGCCCTTTAAGAAAGCAAGCCAGCCTTCAAACTCCACCCCTCTGCTGACTTAAAGCAGTAGTCTGCCTTTCCCAACTAGTTAGTTTACTGATAAAGCTGAGAGGGAGCTAATTTGCCCCCTGCTCTGTCTGGAAGGAATGTTCCTGTTGCAATAAGAGCTCTAAAAGTTGAAGCCTGAAGATACGATGGGAAGGGAACAATAGAAACTTGTGAAGTATGGAAGCCAGGCCTATTCTTAAAATTCTGTCACAGTGCTGAATCAAGTGGAAAGAATGCTGTTAAATCTGAGATTTCCCTTTGCTGTTCTTGGCTAGTTTACTCTTCCTTTCACCTAGGCCAGTGAGGTTTCTAGAGGTTGTTTCCAATTTACCTAGCTGCTTGTCTCACATACCACATCAGAACTGGAAAAGTCAGGGAGAGAAGTAAGTTTCAGTGAAAATTAAACTGGATCATTTGTAACAGAATTATTTACATTGGCTATATGTTTCTGAAGAACAGAGCCAAGTGTGCTGCCCACTGTCCCCTTGCCTGCTACACCAACAGTGAATATGTTTAGAATTCCTCTAGCATTAAACTAAAAAATACCTAGGAGAAACTTGAGGCCTAACTGTAGCTGGCATTTCTGAGCTGTTTGCCAGAAGCAGCCATTTCGATAAAAGATGATGTCATTTGGAACACTTGGCATGTTAAGCTAGTTTACTACAAGGTGCTATGTCCTATTATACATCAAATAACAGTTTAATCATTAGATCTAATTTAGGTTTAAAGATAAGTGGAATAAAAAATCATGAAAGCCATCTTTTTATTTATTTATTTATTTTTTATTTTTTTAATTGTCTTTATTTTTAACTGATAACACAAAAACAAAAATTGTACATATTAGTGGATTAACATGGAATGTTTTGATATATGCATACATTATGTGATATTTAAATCGGAGTAAACATGTGTCCTCTATAAAAATTATCAGTTCTTCATGGTGAAGACATTTAAAATGAAAGCCATCTTTTTAGTCTAAACATTTTATAAACTTTTGCAACAGTTGAGGGTAATAGAAAAGCTTTTTACACTTTTTTTTTTTCTATTTTCTGTTTCCATGAGTTTGTTCTTCCGTTGACTAAACTTGGATAATAAAACTAGTCTGGTTAGTTTCAGTTTCCAATTTTTATACATAAGTGAAAGCTGTTTTGTGTCAACAGGGTAAGGTGTTTAGAATCATCTCACCTGCTGGGCCAATTTCCTGCAAGCCTTCCCAGGGGGTAGGGAAGTACAAGTATTTGATTTTGAATTTCTTAGGCTTCAAAGCTGGATCTTTGAATTAAACCACAGTAGAGTAATTAATCTGTTTTATTTTTCACCTAGTGGAATTTTTTAGGAGTGAGCAAGACGATAGCAATGAAGGGTAATGGTTATGTTGTTCTCTCACTTAATCATGACTATTTGTATAGCCTTATGTTATGTCTGAGGTTGCTTTGGAAAATTGGCACTTGAGATGTGTTTCACCCCTTCTACAAAATGTTTCTCTTCTCTCTCTCTCTGTCTCTCTTTGATTAGAGACGAATGAATGTTGGTGTCGTAGTCCTACCGTGTCACATGTGCTGGAAATGTGCTATAAGAAAAGGGGGAGAAAGTTGCACCTTGTTTAAACAATTGAGCACAGTGTGCGTTGTAAGATTACAGGGCCGTGTTTCTCTTCTGCAAATTCTGCAAGGCTAACCTGTGGCTCCTGTTTCACCGCACTGGGCCCACTGCAGGGGAACTTTCTGTTCTCTCCGCTGTACCCAGAGCTTCTCAGTTAAGCACTTTGCTCACGGAGAATATAAAACTGCGTGCATGTGTGGAACAGACAGAGGGAGACAGGCGCACACACAGTCGGCGGAAGATGGGGCCTCCACACGGCGGGGGTGGCATGCTGGAGCCAGGCTGACCCTTCCACGTGTCCCCAGCACCTGCGGGGCTGTTGAGGCATTGAGTTTCCCTTTCCCTGGAGCAGGCGCGAGCCCGGAAGAGGCTGGGCAGCCGTGGGCTGAGGTCAGGGGGCTCGGAGGCCCTCGGTGGGAACACGTGCGGCCGGCGAGCTGACCGTGCGGTGCTGCGCAGGCCCCGCTTCCCCGCGCCCGCGGTGCCCCGCGCGTTTGCAGCCCGCCGGCGGTCGCCAGGCGGCGGCGGCGGGCGGGTCCCCGAGCTTTTGGCAAGCTTTGCGGGGCGGCCTCGCGAGCGCGCCAGGCCCGGCTGGAGCGAGCCCCAGTGCAATACTACCCGAGCCCGGGCGGGGTCTCTGTTCTCTGGCAGAGGAGGTCCCTTGGCAGCGGGAAGCTCCCTCTCTTTCTCTTGCCGCCGCTCCGAGTCTGCGCCCTGCTGCCAGGCGCCCAGCTCGGCGCTCCCCAGTGCTCGCCCGGCGCCCACTCATTCGCAGCCCAGCCTTCGCCGCCGCCGCCTCCCTGCTCCTCCTCCTCCTCCTCCTCCTTTCCCCAGCCCGCCGCGGCCATGGCGGACAGCGCCAGCGAGAGCGACACGGACGGGGCGGGGGGCAACAGCAGCAGTTCGGCCGCCATGCAGTCGTCCTGCTCGTCGACCTCGGGCGGCGGCAGTGGCGGTGGCAGCGGGGGAGGCGGCGGCGGTGGGAAGTCGGGGGGCATTGTCATCTCGCCGTTCCGCCTGGAGGAGCTCACCAACCGCCTGGCCTCGCTGCAGCAGGAGAACAAGGTGCTGAGGATCGAGCTGGAGACCTACAAACTCAAGTGCAAGGCGCTGCAGGAGGAGAACCGCGACCTGCGCAAAGCCAGCGTGACCATCGTGAGTGCCCCCCGGGGGCGCGCCGCATCGTCGATGTCCGCCAGCCTCCGAGAGGGGCAGCACCCTCACCCAGGCCACCCCCTAGCTTCCCCAGACTCCAGGGGACCCGTAGCCAGCACACTCCCGGTGGAAATTTGCCGGCCTCTGGGGGCGGTGGGGGAGAGGGAGGCGTCCCTTCAGAGCCACGCGGGTCTGTTCTCCTAAGGGGGTCCAGGAGCCCCGTGGGGTGCGGGAGAAGACTCCTGGGGCAGTCCCCCAAGATCCCTTTTCTTCTCTGGGTAGGAGGCCCCTCCCGAGCAAGGATGGAGGCTGGCGGTGTGGCTGGGGGTGGGGGGTAGCGGGGTGGGACTTTTTCAGTCCTTGTATGCTTGAGGGGTGCGTCCAGAATCTGGGGAACCCGAGTCTGGCAGAGAGGGAGGAAGCTGGGGGTCTGTTTGGGGTCCTGGCTTGGAATGGGTGGGGATGCGCAGCTGGGCTTAGGCACCCAGCTGGCATCAGGACGGCGCTTAGCTGGATCACCCGGGGAGGGGGCGGGAGACAGTGGCCAGGAATCCGGGAAGTAGAGTTTTCTGGCCAAGATCGGGAGGGAAGGGCGGGTACCGCAGCTCATGCTTGCACCTCGGTTGGAAGGCTTTTCTTTTTGGCTGGGAGAGTGGGCAGTATTGCAGCAGGAAGAGAGCAACATCTTAGTCTGGTCGGGACGGGGTTGGGGTTGAAAAAAGGATGAAGGGTGGCCGCTGTAACTCTCTTGCTGAGCCAAGATGTACGTGTGTTTGCTTCATTGGTGGTGGAGTGGTTAGGAGGATCTTGCCTCTGAGTCCAGATACTTGACGGGAAAACAGGCCATCTGTTCTGTTTCTACCTGGCCCCTGGAGGTTCCCCCAGAAGAGGGTAAGATGGGGTCTGAGAGCTGTCTCCTGGTGTAGCCGGCTGTTTAGAAAGGCCTCTAGAGTGGTGATGAGGCGAAACATCAGAAAAAGTACACTGTGTGCTCTCACCTAACATCCTTGCCAGCTCCACATCATTAACATGCAGAATCCCCGCACAGACAACCCTATTCAGATCAAAACAGTTTCCCAGCCAGCAGCAGAGAAGAAAATGTCAAGAACTCAAGGGGGATAAATTGCCAGAGCTGCTGCACAATAGCTGATTAAACTGAACCTTTAGATGAGAATGAGGGATAAATTTGGGGATGGGTCAAGGATCATACCCTGGGAAATTAAACGGGACAAATTTAGGATGCTCTTTGTGCCAGGAAAAAGCCTGTAGTGAAGGCTAGTGTGTGTGTTTCCCCATGATAGCTCCTAGACAACTAGATGGCATTCTTGATTTGTGTAGATAGCAGGTTTCCAACAGCGTTTCAGTGTGATCGACAACTTAAATAGCAATTGATTGTGGAAAAACACATGGTCAAATCCAGTCCTAGTGGATGGAATTGGATCAACATTCATACGTCTCAGAGAATGTAAAGTTCTTGAAGTGCCCTTTTGATAGGAAAGGGGAGGAATTTGCAGAGGCAGCCACTTCCAAACCTCCAGCTTTCTTGACTAAGCGAAGTTTGAGAAGAGAGGGATGTTGATGGAGGCCAGTTATTTAGGGTTTGAGTTAGTAAATGAGAAGGTTGATCTCCTGGAGATTGTGAACCATGGAAAGTAGTAAAACTTACATGAGATAGAATCTCTGGCCTTTTGCAGGCACTGAACAATTCAGGCTGTTTTTGTTTGTTTGGGTGAGAGGGTTCGGTGGAGTGGAGTTATCTGTTTGACCCTTTGACCATATTATAAGTAGTCCTGTAAATTGTATGCAAACACATTGGCTTTGTCTGGACAAACATACTCATTCCTGGTGTGTAAGATTAGAGGCCTTCTGAATAATTGGCCTGAGGAATGAGTAAGATGGTGGCTTTATGCCTTTGCCCTCCTTGCAACTAAAACTGACATCCAACCAAATGTAGTTGAAGTGTTGTATGGCTTTATGAGTAGTTTCAAAATTGTTGTAGATGACACTCTATTAGTACTTCACAGTTGTTTAATTTCTAATATATTCAGACAAATGCAAGAAGGTTCCCTACTAACTGGTAAATGTCACTAAGGAGCTAAATGACAAATGTGGTCAAGAGATTCCATCAAGTTTTGGAGGATTTTGTTAATTGACCTAGTATGCAGACTGTGATGGAGTGGGCTTGCTTTTTCTCAGGTATGCGATTTTGGAGGAGCAATGTGTGTAGCTCCATGCAATGGGTCTGTGGATGCATAGTTTATGTCAAGGTTAAACTGTGCAATCCCGGATGAGTCTGACTTAAGCACTGCCCTTGCTAGTCACAGCTTGAGAAATTTGTGACAAAGAGTACATTTAAGTGAAGGCCTTGCTAGAGGTTCACTGTTTTAGTTAGACAGGAAGATGGTACCATAATCCTATTACTTGCCTTCCAGCTCTTATTAGTTCCTCTAATTATGATATTAATTGATATGTTGATGAGTGCTAAAGGTGGCTATGACTACCTTTCCTTTTCCTTGAACACTTTCAGGAAGATACTGCTTTTCAGCCACATGCTGGAAGAAGAGGCACCCATTTGTTTTTTTTTTTTTTTTAAAGACTTTATTATTTCCAGCAGGTTTAGTTTCACAGTAAAAAGGAGCATAAAGTACAAAGATTTCCTACATAGCCTGTCCCCACTGCCCCCCTCTCCCCAAACACAGCCACCATCAGCATCCTGCACCAGAGTGCACATCATTACCACCCAAAGTGCAGAGTTTGCCTTAGGGTTCACTGCTGGAGTTACAAATTCTATAGCTCTGGACAAATGCTATTATACGATTATCGTACAGAATGGATTCACTGCCCTACTAATCCTCCGGGCTCTACATAGTCATTTCTCCCTGTCCCCAGCCCCTGTCAACCACTGATCTTTATCTCTTCTCTATACTTTTGCTTTTTCCAGAGTTCATAAAATCTTTTAGATTGGTTCCTTTCTCCTAGTAATATACATTTAAGTTTCCTCTGTGATTTTGTTGTTTTCATGGCTTAATTGTTTCTTTTTTAGTGCTAACTAATATTTTGTTTGTAACCTTTTACTCATTTACTGATTGGAGGACATCTTGGTTGCTTTCAAGTTTTGGCAGTTATGAGTAAAACTGTTATGAACATTCACATGCAGGCTTCTATCCAGACAAGATTTCAGCTTATTTGGGTAAATACCTAGAAGCAAGGTTGCTGAATTGTATGGTAAGAGAATGTAAGAAACTGCCAAGTTCTCTTCCACAGTGGCGAGACCATTTTGTATTCCCATCAGCAATGAATGAGAGTTGCTGTTGTGAGCGTTTGGTGTTGTCATTGTTCTGCATTTTGGCCTTTTTAATAGCTATGTAGTCATCTCTCATTGTCGTAACCCCTTCTTTTTTAAGCCAAGTCCAAAGGCCAACAGAAACGCTAGCCTGTTCTGTGTAGTAGTCTGTTCTGGTGTAGTAGTACATATTCCTATTTCACAGAGTACTAATGGGTCTGTGTTCCCAGCATCTGTGTAGTAGAGGTAAATAAACATCATTTGTGGGGAGGAATCAACTGTAAAAGTCCTCTCATCCATGTCGCTAAGTGCCTCGTGCATCTGGTAGGCAGAGCCTGCCACCCGTGTATTTTATTTATATCTTAGAGGTAGAAGAGATTGTTTTGCGTGATTATCGAATTTTACCCATTAAATCAGCAGTGGAACCAGGCTGATTATAGATCACATTTTTTTTTTTTCTTTTGGAGTGGGGTAAATAAACAAAAGCCAAATGCTTAGTCACCCTATTTAGTAGCTTTTATATGTTGGGCCAAATCTACTGGTATATCCTGTGAGTGAGAGTGTGGGTGTGGATTATCTGATCAGTGAGATGATGGTGGTCTGGGAATGGGTGGTCTTTGCCAAGATGAGGAAATACAGTTGTGGGCAGTGATTGGATGGCTGCAAAACTTTCAGCTGATTGCTGGTATTCTTAGTGTGTCAGCTGGTTTTCTGGGTTGTATGTCTTTTCTACACTGGTTCAGACCTTCAGTATGTGTTTAGTTTGGAAATAAAGGCTTATAATATTTAAGTGTTTTTTTTCTGATTATAAAATTAATCCTTCCTTATAGATGTTTAAGGAAATACAGAAATTCCAAAGCATTTTGAAGAAGTAGTAGAAAAGCATGTTGTTATGGCATGATTAGAAAACCTGACTATTTTAAACACCAATAGTGTAATAGTTTCTTTAACCAATAAAAGACATCCTATAGTTAGTGTTGTGTATTTTGGATTAGTTACTCTGAAAGCTTAATATGCTATTTTCCATTTTTAAGACTTCATTTTGGCAGACTAAAGCTGCGAGATTGATGTTGCTCTTGTAAAGACGTGTAGTACCTTTTTGTTTTTTTCCTCTGTATAGAACACCCAGCGTTAAAACATAATCTTGAGGAAAATATAGCCTTACAGTTTTGCCTTAACTGTATACATGTCTTAAACAGGCTATTCTCATGTGTTTCTTTTGCATTTCAAGTTTCTCACATTTGTGGGTGCCTTCTGTGTGTTTCATATACTCTGTTTGAATTTAATTTACCAAAGCCAAAACAACAACGACCCTCTCCCCTCAGACAAACAAAACCCAAGTCAAACAAACCACCTTAAACTCTTAAGGAGATCATGATGGTCTCCTATATGTTCTCCTTAAGTATTTGCCAGAAATGGGGAATTGTTAGAGAAGCCACAGTATCTGGTTTGTGGTAACTGTTGTTCAAGCCCAGAGAGACTGGTCTAAAGCCAAAATCTGAAGCAGTCATTGCTTACTTAAAATCTTGTGTTGGCTCCTTATTGGCCTCTGGATCCTGGTAAACTTACTGGTTCTGTGTGATCCATCTCTGCTTGCTTCATAGCCACACCCCCCTCGTGGATCTAGCCCTGTGTGCATACTAAGCTCTCACTTGACTCAGCTATGAGCTCCCAGAATTTCAGTAGGCAACTCTGTGATGTATTCCTGCCCCTAAAA